TATTTTAAAGTTTTTTGTCACTTTCTAAGTTTTGAATTTTATGGAATTGGGAAAGAAGTACCGAGTTTGAAGCGTTCATGAGCAGACATTGCAGTTGAATATTCATGTTCTGAATTTGATTATTGATGAATAATAAAATAAATCCTACTAGCTCGATTAATGGTTTCATTCAATTTATTTAAACCAGGTTATATTTAATAATGTTTTTCGTTAATTTATGAAAATATTAAATAAGCCCGTAATCCTGAATCCTGATACATAAATTTAGCCTATTAATTTAACACATGTACGACTGTACTCAGTGTTGCACTATCAAATGCAATTGAAGCGCCTCTGTGCCAGGGTTTTTATGTTCCTGGTCAGGCTATAACTGCAGAGATAGAACGATTTGGATCGTTACATTCATTCAGTGCTTACCAATTTCAGAATAAGTTATATTGCATCAAACGTTTAATGAGAGGTGGAAAAAATCCGCTGTCACAGATAGCACACAAAATTGTTGAATTTACGAGATATAATACTATTAAAAGTCCTCAGTTTATTGAAAAACTAAATTATCCGTTTCTAACGGTAAGTAGCCGGAATAATTGTAGAATACTTCATTTCCAAAAATTTTAAGTTTTCCAAAAATTAAAAGAGATTTGTATTGACAACTGGCAATGGCATAATAGAAATCAAAGATATAGTTGAAGAACCTAATGGAATTCGTATTAATGGCTTAAAACTAGACAACAAAAAAGATGTTTTTATGTATCCCATAAAATCTTCGCATTTACACATTTACAAAGTAAGAAATGACCACGGTAGTAATTGTGATATTGTCGTCGATCCTAAAGCCCTACCATATTCCGTCCGTTTCAGCCAAATGACGTCCACTGCTGGACAAAGGCCTCCCCCAAGGTTTTTCATAATGAACGGTCCTGCGCTGCTCGCATCCAGGCTCTTCCCGCGACCTTTACCAGATCGTCGGTCCACCTAGTAGGAGGCCTGCCCACGCTACGTCTTCCAGCCCGTGGTCGCCACTCGAGAACTTTCCTGCCCCAACGGCCATCGTGTCTCTACGAGATATGTGCCCCGCCCACTGCCACTTGATTTAAGTAACTCTGCGATGCAAAGCCCTACAATGTAAATTAGTAGGTACATTTGCATTATCATGAGTATTTATATTTCATTCCACTATTACATACTTAAAAAAACTGTTTTAAGTGCAAAAGTTTTATTTATGAACTGAAAAAATATCAAATAGTTTAATTAATTATTATAACTACTCGATACCTATGGAAAAAATAGGTATCAGCAAAAGATGTCTAACATAAATGTCAGATATTTTTGAGTCCTTGTTCTGTCATTACTAGTTTACCTATACCTACTATAGACCCTGTAATCATATTTCCTCAGCTCTGTGCTGTAAGGATGTACTATAACAAGCTATGACCTATTACGAGTAGCAAACAAAAATGAAATAGCATTTTCTACCGATCAACATAAACCACCTTCGTCATCATCATATTCGTTGGTAATATCTTTCTCCTTTTCTTGTTCTTGCCTCTTTTGCTTCTGGTACATTGACATACAGTTTTATGTTATAATTGCTAGCAGTGTAAAGTCGGCAATTATGAACTGAATGCCTGTTTTTGTATTTAACGTCGGTCGCCATCGGTTGTCCTGCTGCTAATAGTTTCCATTGTTCGAATTGGTTCTCTGTTAATTTGCACTCGTCCATGAAACATGCGTTTGTGTGGATTAATGAACTAAAATTGAATGATGATCCCGGACTTAGTTGACGGGACTACGTGGGATCTACGGGACTAAGTCGTTCATAATTGTAGTGCATTGTTCTAGAGACTCCATAATAGAATAGAATAGAAAACTTTTTATTTGCAAGAAAGGTATACAAGCAGGTAAGACATAGATTAAAACAGAGAGAAATAAACAAGTGGACAATTAACTGCTTGTGCCCCTCTGACAAAAAGGCACCCGCTCAGCGTACATTAAGACCGCCAGGGCTTGTCTTGAAACTGATTTTCAGCGGGGGCCCTATAATCATAATTTTTCTTGTGCTCGGTGGTCCCATGAAGAATAAATTGTTTCTCTTTTTTGTCTGTCCGAGAAAATGTCTTTTTGTAACAGTTGCAAATCGTACATTCGATATGTTGTTGTTTGCTATTAATATATTCCAGTGTTGTTACTTGCTTGGATACCGCTCTACTGGTTGTAAGGTCTGGCAATTGTCTTAGTTGAAGTAGCTTGGCGCGTTCCATTGGCTGCTCTGGTTGTTCTTGAAATACCAAAATTCTGGATATTCATATTGCTGTTCTGAGTCTTTCTGGAAAATTTTTGATGAACTGGGCGGCAATCCCTTCAGGCGTTGAGCACAATAGTCTAGTGGCTTCCCCTTCATCGAAGGCTCTGTGTTCACATAGGAATAGAACCAGTTGATTATTAGCATCACTATATTCTTTAAATCGTCCTGATTTGAGAATTCCGAGGTTACAAGGTTTTCCTTGTTGTACATCAGATTGTGTTTGTACTTGTTCAAGCTCTATTCTTCGGTCTCGCTTAATTTCACCGTAAATTTCATCGGCCTCAAAATAGCTTTCCACCAGTCTTTTGTTAGTTTGACGCAATGTTGGGCCTTGCACTGAAAGAATACTATTTCCTTTCGGGACCTCCAATTGCAGTGTTTTTCTTGTTTTCGCCTGTTTGATTACAAATTCTCAACGAATGTTTTGTGCACCGGGAAGCTCTTTTATCTTCTTCGGTGAGAATGTTTCTAAGTGTTTCACGATCAGCGTCGGTAGTAACATACTCAAGTAGACAAGTGATACATGTAATTTTGGTAATCTTATATTGGTGGCATCTAATTGTTTTACCAAATCCACTATTGTATCTCCACTCTTTGTTGGTTGATATATAGATAATATGGAAATGCGTCCTGTATGTTCCACTATGCTTACAGATGACTTTCCAAGGGCTTCTGTGAACATTGAATAATCTATGACTTTCTTGTTCTTGTTGTTCGATGTCTCCTCGGTGGATATTTTCAGTGTTCTCTTGGCTGATTTGTGTGAGGTCGACGGTATCGTATCCAACTTCTCCGATGGGCTCGTTTTCTTGCTGCTGCACAGTGGATCGAAATGGCAATAAAGTGGACATAGGGATTTTTTCCGGAAAATAGAATTTATAAATTGCCAATCGATAGTCCTTTGCTCACTTATCACGACATGTCATATCACATTTTTCTCTAAACCTGATACTTTAGCTTAAAAAAAAATTATTTGTTTTTTTTTTGTATGAAACGAGATATTAAGTACTAATTTTCTCCGAAGACCTGCTAGATCGTGACTTGAAACAACCTAGGTCGGTATAACTGAATTATTTACTAATATTCTAAGCTATTTCCAGCTGCTCCAAACCGCAACTTGGCCAGTTAAACGATTCCGAAAAAAAAAATTGACTTCTTGTAATTGTATTTTAGTTCTTTTTTTTTTAGAAAAAGCGTCGATTACGGTACTAGAAAGTGATTTTATCGTTAGGTGACATTGTTATCTATTCTCAGAATCCGCATATCCCTTCCTGACCGCATATCCCGGGCACGGGAGCGGTGCCTTACAACCACTGCCTCCCGCCCGTACACTGTTATTGCTGGAGGTGGCAGAACGTGGTGGTTGTTGGTGAGTGTCATTGTCAGCTTGCCGAGATATCTCTAATAAAGCCTCTTCANCCATATCTCCAAACATAAAAAGTCTAACATCAAAGCCAAATTCACGCGCGTAAGGGGGCGTCCATAAATTACGTGAGGCTTTTAGGGGGGGGAGGGGGTTAACAAAAACCTCACTAAATCTCACTTGGGGGAGAGGGGGGGTCTCGGGAAATATCACGTATTTTTTTCCACAAGAAATAGAGAAAAAGAGTTTGCCAGAAAACTGGGTTATATCTTATGTAAAAAAATTGGCCAAGTACGTGTCGTGCCACGCGCAGTGTAGGGTTCCGTAGTTGTCCGTCGTTATCACAATATATTTCAGAAGTAAGCAATTACTTCATCTAAAGCCACTTTTAAAATTTTCTTCTAAGGAATTTGTATTAGGTATGAAATTTTATAATAGGTACATGAGTAAAACGACTATTACTCTTGAACTAACTGATCTATCTTAACCGCTATAGTTTTCCTTGAAAGTTCATAAAAAGCACTATAATCTTGAGTTTTTCCAGAATTATCAAGCCAACTGTTTAGTTTTTAGCGGGGGGGACGCCCTACTCGGACAAAAATTGGCACTTTAAACATTAACATTTTGCAAACGGATCCCTAAATCGAAAAATGGTCTTAGAAACCCCTAAGCCATTTTAAAAGACCTATCCAACGATACCCTACACGATGGGATAGAAGACGAAAAAAAAATCATCCCCACTTTACATGTACGCTAAAAAAATTTTTTTTCAAAATTTTATTCTACCGTTTTGTAGGCGTGATTAATATACATACCTCTACAAAATTACAGCTCCCTAGTGCCAATAGTTTCCAAGCAAAACCTCGGACAGACAGACAGCCAGACATATCGAAACTATAAAGGTTCCTTGTCAGGACTAAAAAATGATATTTGTATGATGATAATGTCATTTTTATCTATACAGTCTAAACAAATAAAACTAAAATTGCTTCCGACTGCATGTGGGAATACTAAAATGCAAAATAAATGACAAAATTGTAAAACAAGTTCTTTTTTTATATCAAAATCGATTTTGCTAGATTATTTGTGATTTTGTAGAAAGGAACAATTAGACTAGGTACTTCTGTAAAAAAACAATGTGACCCTAGTACTAACCGCTGTCACTACACGTGTTTTTCTGGATCTATTCGTAATCAGTGGGCTTAGTGCGACTTTACATCAATCGTCCATCCGCTAGCGACTGCGTAAAAAATGACATACATTAAATGTATGATGATTGTACAGCGTCCCTAGCTAGCAGATTCTTTCCAGCCGCCCGTACACTGTTATTGCTGGAGGTGGCAGAACGTGGTGGTTGTTGGTGAGTGTCATTGTCAGCTTGCCGAGATATCTCTAATAAAGCCTCTTCATTGGTTAGTACTTGTACAGGGATATTCCTACTATTGCAAATATTGTGTAATATTACACAAGCATTTACAATAAACGCTGCCACAGGGGGAGAATAATGTAATACTCTGTGTACAAGTAAACACCTGAATCTAGCCTTTAGGAGACCAATGGTCCTCTCAACCACATTTCTTATCCGGACATGCAGATAGGTGTAATGAGCTTCTGGAGTGTCCGGACTAGTATCAGTAATTGGTGTGATCAAGTACCTTCTCAGTGGGTACCCGGAATCACCTAGAAATAATAAAAATATTACATTAACCATCATATTATATTTTGTTGTGTATATAAAATTATTTAACAATGAATACAACATACCAAGTAACCATTATAGCTTCATTTCTGCTAATAACCGCCATGTGATCCTTTATGGGATGGTTTGCTCATATAAAAGAATCATGAGTAGCTCCACCAAAACTAGCATCCACACTCACGATTTGCATATCTGCATTACTAATCTAAAATTCAAATTGTTTCAGATTAATACTATGAACATGAAGACTGAAGAAATTATATTATTGAATCATTACTATTTTTGTTTTTCTGTATGATTATAATAAATAATAAACATCTTACCAACTGGACATTTAGTGAGTGATACTGTTTCCTGCAGTAATATCTCTCCTCATTTTCCTCGGGGGAAACAATTGCCACATGAGTGCAATCAATGCATCCCAAAACTCCTGGCATTTGAAATTGATTGGAGAATCTAAAAATAAATTAATTTAGATAAATATAACTTATCAAAAGTTGTCGGTGCAATAAAATAAATTTGTAGTGTTTTTATTGCTAGTAATATTTCGATTACATATAAAGAGTTTAAACTAAAGTTTTATCTTTTAATTTTACCTTTAAGGCTGTAAGTTATGTACTCACCGTATCATGATTTCACGCCTTTCCTCAGAAGTTTGAGGAAACTTAATATATTTCGCTTGCATGTGGGGCAAGTTTAGTAAATTGGTGATCTGCTTCAACACCACTGATACAGTTGGTTGTGCGACTGAGTGTGCAGATATATCACCAACGGGGCGTTGGTATGAACCCGTTGCATAGAATGATAATGCAATTAACACCTGCAAGAACGATTTAATTTTGTATTTGAATATTCAATGTACTTGTAGACCATAACCTCAACTTAATAATATAACAAAGAATGACAATTAATTAGGCGTTATTAATAACAACCAAGGGCGTAACATTCATAAAAAAATAAATTACTAACCTTTCTTTCCAGCGACGAATCCGACGCTCTTGAGGGCCCAGCGACATGATGCGGTCTTAGTTCTTCGCATAAATTGAGAACTAATTCTTTGCTCAACCTATATCGTTTAATGAAACTTATTTCATCCACATCAAAAGGGTCGCTAAAGTCCCTAAGGCGTCTTCTTTGAAGTTTTGCTTCATTGTTTTTTTGTGAAGCATCATTTTCAAGAAATTCAAATAATATCAACTCGTCACTCATACTTATTTCTTATATTCTAGGTGTTTATTAACGTTTACCAGTAAAAAATTGCTTTTTAATAGAAAACTTTAAATAATAAAACAAGTCAATAAAAGTTGATCAAAGACGACGTAAACTGAATGGCTTAATTGAAACAAAAATTGACAAATAGTCAAGGCTACAAACGTCAAATTGACCGTCGTAATACGAAAATTCCAGTCAACTTCCAGTCACAAGTCAGTCAAGTGTCACGTGACCGCTGCCTGGCTGGAATTAAGGGATCATAATACGGAAACGCAAGGCAGTTTAGTTTAAGGCGTAAACTCACTGGATTTAAGAGGTCGTAATAGGCCTGCAGGACCCCTTGGTCCATGAGGTAACCCCTTTCTGACCATCTTTTGGCAGTGAGATAGTTGGTGTCCTCCAGGTCTTTGACAATCTTTTCCACTTCAGGGTCTGCGAGTTGTTCCTGGTGCAGTTGGCTCGGTGACTTGGTGGGCAGATCGCAGATGATCGACCAAATACCGCAATAATGACTTGTCTCGGATGAACACATAGTTCTGCTAAGCGTGTCTGCCGCAACGATCGCCGCCCACCTCCCCCCAACCAACGACCATCCAACAATCGAACCGCGTGGCGTGAACCTATTCGTAAAGAAGATGAAACGAAACGCCGGAGCAGACTTCCCAGCCAACGGAAGAAAGATTCCGCACGCCAAGATGCTTTTCGCGAGAATCATCCCAAAACAAAACAAGCGTTACAAGAAATTGAAGATAAAATTAATAAAGCGCTATATTTTGGATTTGGTGATGCATTAACAGCTGAAAAACAAATAGATTTTTCAATTCAGAAGACAGCTGCAGTCACTAAAATCCGGCAGAGACTACGCCGTGAAGAATTTGCCACTTTTCAAGACCTACTACGTCATGCGCGCAATATAGAAGGCGCCGGAATCGGGTTGCGTAAGCTTTTGGCTGAGTTGCTTTAAGCAGGTTAGCGAGGGGTGAGAAGGTAACGGTATGTCCGTTACCTTTTTACCGCTTTTATAATGTCATGTTGCTCAATGTTCATGCGCGGGCGGTAAAACAAGCCAGCATCAATGCCCAATTATTTATTTACCTGTGATGACTTCCCGCATAACAAGCGGTACTCAAACTGGGCGAGCGAAACGCGGTAAAAGGCGTACGGCGAGCACTCCGGAATGCGATCCGGTCGGCGGCCGTATTGTTCGTTCGTAGACCTTCTTGAACAGCCATTGGGTGTAGAACCCCACTGCCCTTGTGGTGACAGGTTAGCCTACTGAATAGTTTATGGACAAAGAGCGAAACCGGATGTCCATGGATTTAACCAAGTCCGAACTGCAGACTCGTATAAACTTTGACGTGTCTTGCTCAGAAATTCTAACAGTCTTACAAAGCTCTGACGGAGAAAAACTAATAAAAATGGCAAAATCCATTGAAAAATATTTCAAAAAATGATTTGATCGCCGTTTTATTTAACATTATTATTTACGTTCTATCAGAAGAAGTTTTATTTTTATTAGAAGATACATAATTTGTTTGTACTGATTTCCTACCAAAGCTTAATAACAAAACATTATGTACCAAAAAGCAAGGTAAGTTAGGAATTTATTGATATAAGATTTATTTAAGGTGCATAGTATCTTATTATTATTGTTTTGTTTTCTTCAGTTTATTACTATTGAATTTGTAATTTAGTAATTGTCTACCAAAGTTTTAATTTACCAATTTAAGCTAATTACATACCTACAGCTAATAAAAGTATGTTTTTTGAAAAAATGGCATTTCATCTTTTAAATATAAATATGAATCATTTGAAAATAAAAAAAATATATGATATTATGTGCCTTAATAAAACACAGCGTTTTGTTGAGAGAGCAGTCTATGATCTTTGCTTAATTTTAGTCTATGGTATAAGAAAACTTACCAATTGCCTCTGCTTTATCATCTAGTTTACCTTCTTCATACACCAGCTGGCACCACTTTCTATGGAAATTGGTGATCTGACAACTTGACATTTCATAGCGTTTGTGATTTTTGCCGCCTACACAGCAAAAATTTTTCTCTCTTGTTTTATNATAGCGGGTTAAAGGCAGCTAATTGAACATTCTGTTTGAATGGTGCAATTGTTACTACCATTCTATTCATAAATAAGTAAAATTATTTTAGATTGGGCTCAGTGCCGGATTAAGCCAGCGCGGGGCCTGTAGCAAATTTCTATCAAGGGGCCCTTGGTTTGCTTTAGGTTCTCAAGTTTAGGGTATTAAATGAAACAAAACTGTTACAAATGAACTTTTCTTGATTTAAAGGCCTATTCAATTTGAGTGATATTCGCTGCCGCTGTGGGTAGAGGTACATACCGCGCGGGTTTCGCTCAGGTATGTATCAAGTACCGCGGCTAGAGCGACCTGAGCGATATTCACTGCCGCTGTGGGTAAGGTACATACATAGGTAGACGGTAGCGAATACCGCTTAGGTCTGAACAGTATTATTACCGCATACCCACTGGGATTTCTCTGCCGCAGACGGTAGCGAATACAGCTTAGGTTTCAATAGGCCTTAATGAGGGCTTCAGAGATAACACTTTCAATATCAATTTCTTTAAGCAAATCACGCTCTATATTCAACAAAGTAAGATGATTAAGACGTTCTTCTCCCATCGTGTTCCTTAATTAATTTTTAATACGTTTTAATGTTGAAAAAGAACGTTCGCCACTGCAGTTACTGATCATGAGAGACATGTAAATGCGCAAGGCAATTTCTAAATTTAGAAAACACGATTTTGAAGAATTATTTATTAAAAGTTTATAAAATGATTAGTTTTTCAAACGTTGTTAGTAAAATGATCTTTTGTCATATGTTTTTTAAATAATAGTAAACCTCATTTTTTAATTATCCGCTTTTTTACTTGAGACTCTAAAACACCTTGCTCTTAATCTACCGTCACTAGCTTTCAATAATCTCGAAACATGATCGATATGATAATCGATTCAAAAGGTTAAAGCCTGGTCCGTGAGCACCTAGAATCCCGTCCAATGACCCCAAGCTACCCATCCCTATCGCTCGCGCATAATTATGTTGCTGTCGCGCTCGCACACTCACTGCGGACGCCCGTCGCACAGTCGTGACAGCAATATAATAACGCGCGAGCGATAAGGATGGGTAGCTTGGGGTCATTGGACAAAATTCTACGTGCTCACGGACCAGGCTTTAGCTATATTCACTCATAAAATGAATCTACACTCAACATCAAATAAACCGCACCTTCCGCGACACGAACTTTAAAGATTTTCTTCTGACACAATTATGGTATCCTTAAAGAAAAATACATTTCAATTCTAAATAAATGATTAACATATATCATAAATGTGATTTGAAAATAGACCTCACTTTGGGCTCACCTCTGGGATCAATTAGACCAATTTTTATGGTTATAAAACCAAATAAAGATCTCACGTGTCCTCTTTAACAGATGGATAGCGATTAATCCCAACTATTTTAACCTATTTTTTGAAAAAGTGACTCTGGATCCTTGTAAAGACACATTTTTGGGGTAAAAACCTTTCCTTTAATGAAATGAAGTTTAAAACTAGGCTTTGAAATGGTACCAACGTTGGTGGGAAGTGGGGATGCATACGTTTGATAAGTGCTTGTCGCGGGAGGTGCGATTTCTTTGATGCCGAGTGTATATTTTATAATAAATCAACCAACTATAGTAGATTGGATCGTGACTGAATTAATAAAATTTAAATAGTTCGTAGTTATATGTATAGAAGAAGAAGAAGAGAACATTCATTTTAAAAAGTTCGTAAAGTACCTACCTACTTATTTTTATGATTTCACGTGATGAAATCGAGTTTTAGATTTTCAAGTGAAAGTAAAGCATAGCCTAAGCGCTTCGCGTTTAAGGCATGCAAGATATTTTACGCTCCTATCTAAATTAATCTTTTTTTTATTTCGGTCAGACAGGCGTTGGAGCGCGGGGCCCCCAAATTCGCGGGGCCCGTAGCATTTGCTACTCTTGCTACGTGGCTAATCCGGCACTGATTGGGCTTAAAAGGCCTCTTAAATTTAGATGTTAATCATTTAATTCAAAAATGACATTGGGAACTTTTTGCCCCACTTTTCGAAAAGTAGCGGACACAAACGAAACCTATCACAGATGATACATACTGTACGAGCACGATCGTACATCCTGCTGCACCGTCAGCATCGACCGCCGGGCGACCCATGAACCATCAGCATGCACCGTCGGCACTCTACACCGACGGCACACTAACTTATAGATGTAAATGTGTACAAACAATAAACCATGTATAAATAGCATAACATAATACCAATAAATCAGATATCAACCGTCCGTCGTTGTGTCTCATTTCCCCCCGCTGCGGCCAAGACACCCTTAGCCGTCGCTATGATCAGTCCGGTGAGTCTGCCGGGCTGGCAGCGGGTCCCCGCCGCCTACCTGCCGTCCTAACGCTGCTGCCCTGGGCGACCTGGGCACAGCTTCCTTCCTATCAACCCTTATTATGTCTAAGTATCTATTGTTAGGCAGGGCTAGGGCTCTAGGGACTTAGTGTCTTAGGGAATAGGGACTCTAGGCTCACTAGGGAGTTAGTTCCCTTCCTGACCGCATATCCCGGGCACGGGAGCGGTGCCTTACAAATACACATACTAATATCCAATGAATTTCCATGC